GCGGGGTCTCTTTTTTTAAATCGAAAAATTCAGATATTTTTGAAAAACTGGAAATCAAAGTTTTTTTTGTAAATTCCAGAAAAAAATTCGAAAATTCTAGAAAAATCAAAAAAATCGAAAATCACAGAAAATTTATAGTTTTCAAAGATTTCAGGAGATTCACATTCTTCTAGAGATCTGAAAATTCGAAAAATCTGATTTCGAGGATTAAAAACCTTTGATAACTCAAGATTTTGACTGAAAACGCACGAGAATCGAGAGTAAACCAATCCCGGAAAAATGTAAATATTTTTAGGTTACGGTAATTGTCGTTGTAGGACCGTCGGCCACCTTTTTTTCTTGTTTTTTCAATGATTTTCACTATTTTTTAGACTTTTTTCCGATTTTCATTGAAAAAACGGCGAGAAAATCGTTGCGAAATTGAGAAACTAGGAGAATAATATTATTTGAAAGCTTGCTCGAGGTCTCAAAATGAAGAAAAGGGACTACGATAGTTTATGACTACGGTAGCTAACGAAATACGTTTTTGGCAGATGACGTCATAGAATCCCTTTTCTCTGCCACAATCTCCAATGAAAAATCTAGAGTAGAAAGAAGAACATTATTCTTCCACTCCTCGAACGTCGAGGATCGATACGAGAATGAAACGAAGAGACCCCCCACTAAAAAAGAGACGCCGAGAGAAAACAGAAAAAAAAACAACAAACCCAATAACAGTCAGTGCTATCGGTTTTTTCGTCCGGTTACATTTTTGGTTTTCTGTGTTTCGAAACAAAACATTAGGTAGTAAATCTATTACTGATAAGAGATAACAAATGTAACTTTTCATATGGTATGATTCGCAGTCCATTCGCAGTATGTTCTAGTTATAGCTAGAAACATCGAGTTAACCTGTTAAAAATGGGAAATTAAGTCAGAAAAAAAACCGATAAAACGATTTGAAAATGCAAAAGTGAGCGCTCAGAGCCCTCTTCGGAGGGGACACACATTCGTGTGGAAAAAAGAGCTCACTCTGTGCTCTCTATAGAGTGGAAAAAGAGGGAAAAAGAAAGAGAGTTGCTCGAAAAAAACGGAGAAAAGGGAAGAGAAATAGAGGAGCGAGAAATGGGAGGAAATGGAAAGGCGAAAAAGATGAGCGGTTTATACAATGTCAATTATATCAATTGATTGGGAAGAAATGGAAAAATGAAGAATATATTGATAATAAAAGTGATAAAGTTATGAGACATTATATCATTTAGCATGACAGGAACCTAAGGTAGAAAATGATGTAACGGAGAAGGTTTCGAAAAGAGGCGAAGTGTTTAAAGAGAGAGTGACGGTTATTTATTACCCGGACGTTCAGTGAAAAAAAAAACGCTTTTTTGGTCTAAAAATCGATATATCGCGATATATTGTCGAATTAAAAAAAACGGCACCTGAAAATCGGTGAGCGGCCGCTTGTCATGATCTACGAGGCGAAATGCGGCAAAGTCCTAATACTTCCGATTTTCGCCTATTTTCGCAGTGAAGTTCGCTGCTTTTTCGGGAAAAAAACAAATTCTAGAAGGGATAACGATCATATTTATTAGGTTGTTCGGAAAGTCCTTTCCATTTTTAGCGTCAGATTCATTCGATATAAAAAAGGTCAAAACGATGTCAGATAAATTGAAGATAATGACCATTGTTATCAGTGACTATCTGCCAACGTCCCACCAAATTGTGGATGCCTTCCTTCCAGAACTCCGGTCTCAGTACAAGGTTTGGACTATACTGTAGATAAGACAGAACCGTTTAGCCGTATCCAGTGAGATCGGTCTCCGTTCTCCTTCCCGCATGAGGTTGAGAATTTCGATTTTAAAAATAAACCTTTGTGTTTCTCTCCAATGGAGATTTACATGGAATCTGAGTTATGTCACCTGACAAAAATAGGTATCGGTCATAAAAGTGACACCATTATCTGGCAGCTCCCAATACTCCACTCCTTGGTAGACATCCATGCCGAAAACATCCCATTTTTAACGTTAATTTCACGTTTCGGGACGTCTGGTGGTTGAGTGCCTTTGTCAACCCACTTGGATTGTTGTTTATTGTAATCGTACATTACCCATTTATCGCCACTATTAATGATTTAACTTCAACATTCATGTGTGCAACGCAGGATGAGAAGATTCAAACAGGTGCCCACACATGAAACAAAGTTGCTTTGAGCGAAAAGGTGTGATCCATATCTTCCCACTTTTTTTTACTTTGCCGAGAGTTCCCAATTTATGGCTTTTTGACGAAAGGCTTGCCACTGATGTACTTGATATATCCAGCACTGTTTGAGACGGGTTCCTTTCAATCCCGGTTTTTAATGCGTCCAAATCTGAGCCCGTATGCTTTTTTGGAGGGGGGTTTTCGTCCAACGAGAATTTTCATTTTTCAAATTGATGAATCCAGGTTGTGAAGTTTGTTCGAAAGGGTGCGTCTTCGTTGTTAACCTCCACAAATTGGTGATTGATTTCAGTTGATCTGAGGTCAGATAGAAATACAAATAAAATGGTAGTCCAAAAATGGAAATTATTAGAGGCGAAAACGGTGGGCATATCTCACTGCACGAAAAGAGGAGAATGATCTCCGTTGGGGTGTAGACACTATTAGACCTCACCAGCATACTGAGAAAACGACAACTGCCTCGCTTTTACCCCCTTCAAGCAAACGAAGTTTGAAAACAACATATCAAAAGTGGAAAGGACTTTCCGAACAACCTAATATATTGAAAAATCTTAATTTTGTCTGAAAAATCCCATTAAATTCGCAGAAATTGATTTCAGTTCAGTATGGGATTTTGCGGGCGGGGCAATGTAAATCGACATTCGCGAGGTTCGATATAATTTCAGTCGAAAAAAAGTTTTTTGTGTAGAAAAATTCCGGTTATTTTTTCTAGATTCCTACTTTCCATCATTCATGTCGCGGGCCGGGCCAGCGGAGGAATTTTCACTGGCCCGGCCTGGCCTGGCTCTTCTTGAGGCAAAAATTTGGAGTAATTTTTTTAGAGGAAACTGGATTCTGTAGGTTACTGTAAGTTACTGTAGGTTACTGCCTAGGAAACGTGTCTCCCCACATTTTTCTACCCTTCTCCAGCTCTCAAAAAAAAAAGAAATTCTTCCTTATTTCAAATTCTCAAAAAGCGCTAAAACAAAAGAAATACACCACAAAAAGTCATGGAGTGTTCGCAGAATGATGTCATCAATGGTATTTCATTCCTTCCTTTTTCCCCTAAAAATCCCATTGCTCAGCTTCCGAAACAGATTTCGAGATAGATTTGGATGATGTGATCAACAATAACAATGTCGGAGGAACCGAAACAGATATTTTCAATAATTGTAAGAATCCTAGTTGGGTTGCTCAGCTTTAAGTTTAAGCTCTTTCAGTGCTGACCGCAATCTCCGAATCGCTGAGCAATATATCGGTGAACACTGCGATGACTGGAGAAACCGTCGAACAAAGCTTGAATGCGCACGCCGATCCTTCGTTGAACACCAGAATCTCGATGAGCACGGCATCTGAATTCAGCGTCCAAACCCCACCCCTAATTGACCATTTCTACTGTAACCCAAAGCCTCTTCAAGTATGGAAAGATGAAAATGGAATCAAGGAGTTCGAGATGACATGCAATGAGAAGAAGGTGGTGGTTGTGGATTCCCTGGAATGCCTGGAACGCCTTCAGAACAATTACTATCCATTGGAACCGGTTTATTTTGATCCACGTGTCTACTTGACAATTCCGTATGGAGAGCCAGAGGGAGAGTTTGATTTTGAGCAAGAATCGAAATATGAGGTGGACCAGGAGGATGATGTGGTTACTGCAGAACTTGGACCCAATTTCGAAGAGTTTGAGGATTGGGTTCAAGAGAATGGAGGATAACTTTTATTAAATGTTTTTTTAACAATAAAAACAACGAATTTTTTTAATTTCGATTTTTGAATTCTCCGATTCTTCAGTTTTTTTCGAATTCTAAATTCGTAATCGATTATGAGATTCTGGAATTTTGAGGTTCTGAAACTATGAGGTTTTCGAAATTGGTTTAATTGCAATGCATGTTACGGCCGAGAATCCGAGGATGGCCAAACCTACAGTAACCCACAGTAAGCCTAAAAAAGAATTCCTCAAATTTTCGTTCATGAATAAAAGCTTGAGGAGTTAAACTTGTGGGCCCACCGATGGGGGTCCCGCGCTCTAAAAACATTTTATCAGTTGACCACTTTTTGATACTTTCTTCAAAAACCGAGATAATTGGGTTCAAAGTAAGATGTCTCCCCTTTTTCCATATTTCTAAACATGATAAAGTAAAACCCTGATACAGATCTTTTTAAAAACGCAATTTTATAATCTTCGAGACCTGAAAACCAGTTTTTTAATGATTATTTATTGCAAGTGTTTACTATCTTGATATCTCAAATGACTTCTTCTTTTCTGTTTTTCAATGTCTACCACTCTTGACAGTTTCATTCTATACCAATTAAGGTTGCACTTCTTTTGAATTTCAATTTGAACATTCCCTAATTTTAGCAAGTTTAATGAGTACGAAGCCCACGAAAATCCTTGGACACCTCAGAGAATCGTAAAGTATGTCGTTGGTTCGCTCTCAATTTTACTGATTTGTGGAGTTGTGGCATTTGGAATATCTACATTGCTCTTTTATTTTTATGACGATCCCGATGAAGTTACTAGTAAGGATCCACTTTTAACTCTCTAATATGTCGAACGCCGCCCCCCCCCAAATCGTTGCCAACTTTGAGCATATATATCTCGAGTCCTGTAAAAGATACCAAAAAGCGTTCAACTAATAAAATTTAGCTGGTATGATGATAAACATTTTATCAGTTGACCACTTTTTGATATCTTTGATAAGAAATGAGCTATATAAGCTCAAAGTTTGAAGTGCACTCTATTAGAGTATTTACGATTTTTTGCCTTTTTCAGTGAAAAATTTTTGTTCTTGAAAATTTTAAAAGCGTATATCTCAAAAACCAGGAAAGTTACAAAAAACTTGTTAATTACAAAATTAAAGGTCTTATTTTGTTTAGTATACTCCAAAATTTTCAAAAAAAAAAAACCGAAAATCTTGGACCACTTTTGTAGAACTTCTAAGTTTGTATACCGTATTTCCAATCCCCCACACCATCAAGTTTGAGCTCAATTATATCGGTTTCCGTGCAAGTTATCAAAAATGTGTCAACTAACAAAACACTCCTGATTTTATGATAAACATTTTAACAGTTGACAACTTATTGGTATCTTTCAAATGAATCGAGATAATTGAGCTGAGCCTTTTTAGTACAGGTTTTACGGTATTTTTGTCTGGTATTGTACTTATTATATCTTCTTCAGGGTATCCTGTACCCCTTCCTCCTGCCTCCAAATGTGGAAAACGAATAATTGGATATTATTCTGGATGGGAGCGCCGAACGATATCAGAGTCCCAAGTTAGCAAATTGACACATGCCATATTTGTAGCAATTCGCATGTTCAAAAATGGACAAATTGCTTTTCATAATACAGAATATAGTGGACGATTTTTGGATATGAAAAAGAAGGCGAGATTAGTGAATAAGGACATAAAAGTGATAATTGGAGTTGGTGGAAAAGGGAATTCGCAATTTTTTTCACCGGTTTTTGCAGATGGAAAGAAACGGAAGTGAGTTTTGGAATTAATTGAAGGGGGGCTCTGTCTTTTTCCAAGGTTTTTGTTTTCAAAAAGGACCAATATTTAAAACTAGATTTTAAAAATGGAATTTTTTGTAGGCGGAAGACATAAAAGTTGAAAAAAATCAATAGAGCGGCGTTTTAGTCGTCGGCGGCTCACTGGCGGCTCACCGGTTGCTGATTTTTCAATAGAAATTATCTCGGTTCCTGCAGAAGATATCAAAAACTGGTCAACTGATAAAATGTGTATCATAATATCAAAAAAATTTTATCAGTTGACACATTTTTTATATGTCTCATAGGAACCGAGATAGCTGAACTAAAGAGAGTGGGCTTCTATTAGAACAATCATGGTAATTACGCTTCAGTTCAATTATCGTGATTCCTGTAAAAGATATCAAAAAGTAGTCAACTAACAAAATTTTTATCATAATATCACCAATATTTTATTAGTTGACAAATTTTTGATATCTCTTGCAGGAATCACGATAATTGAGCTCAAAGTTGAGAGTCGGCAAATACTCTGTCCCCCTACTTTTAACGCAATGAAAGATGTTTGATCGGATCCATCAAAATAGAAAAAAAAAATTTGTTCCAGAACTCTCGTAAAATCCATCTCCAACTTCCTATTCACCCAGAAAATCGATGGAGTAGAAATCGATTGGACTTATCCGTTTGCAGAAGCCCAAGATCGAAACACAACTGTCTCGTTTCTCAGCGAACTTCGAACCGAATTGAAGCTTCTAGAACATCAGAAAAATTTAACAGAATCATTTTTAATCAGTATGCTGACTCCACAAATCATATGGGATCAATTGGATGGGTATGATTTGAAGGGAATCGCCCAACAAGTGGATTTTATCAATTTGATATCTTATGAATATTATGGTCCATGGGGAATGCCAGCTGGAGTTTATACCGGTCCCATTGGTCCATTGTACGGAGGAAAACGTGGAAATGTGGATGACACAATGAAAGTACATGCGTGCGAGACAATGGAGCCAAGTAAGGTGATTTTGGGAATTCCATTATATGGAAAGTTCTGGAAGAATGTCAAAAAGGATCCAATTAATCAAACGGAAACAATGTGTAAGGAAGAAGTTTGTCGGATAGATGATCCTTTTGAAATTTCGGATGTATGGAGAATTGCGGAAATGAAGGATGGAAGACCACGAGGAGGATTCATTAGTTGGAGTGATCGAGAGACTGATGACGTGGGAATCATTTGGAATAGGACAGAAGCCAAATGGGATGACAAATCGAAAAGTACGTATATCTGGAGACCGGAGGATCAGATTCTGATAACTTATGAGTCGAGGCAAAGCATCGAGGAAAAAATAAAATATGTGGAGGAGAAGAATTTGGGTGGCATCAATATTTGGTCGTTGAATATGGATGATGAAAGAGATACAGCATTGGAATTGGTGTCTTCTGGAAATTTATGTGATGGGAAGAAAATGAAGAAGAAGAATGAGATTATGTATAAATGTTAATGCAAAAAAAATTTTGAAATGAATTTTTAAAATAAATAATTTTTTTCTTTTTTTCTAAATTCAAGAAATCTTATGTACGGAATCCTGAATATTGAGATCTCCAGAATCATGTAACCTCGGAAGACCCGAAACTCAAAACTTCAGAATCTCAGAATCTCAGAATCTCAGAATCTCAGAATCTCAGAGAATCTCAGAATCTCAGAATCTCAGAATCTCAGAATCTCAGAATCTCAGAATCTCAGAATCTCAGAATCTCAAAATCTCAGAATCTCAGAATCTCAGAATCTCAGAATCTCAGAATCTCAGAATCTCAGAATCTCAGAATCTCAGAATCTCAGAATCTCAGAATCTCAGAATCTCAGAATCTCAGAATCTCAGGATCTCAGAATCTCAGGATCTCAGAATTTCAGAATCTCAGGATCTCAGAATTTCAGAATCTCAGAATCTCAGAATCTCAGAATCTCAGAATCTCAGAATCTCAGAATCTCAGAATCTCAGAATCTCAGAATCTCAGAATCTCAGAATCTCAGAATCTCAGAATCTCAGAATCTCAGAATCTCAGAATCTCAGAATCTCAGAATCTCAGAATCTCAGAATCTCAGAATCTCAGAATCTCAGAATCTCAGAATCTCAGAATCTCAGAATCTCAGAATCTCAGAATCTCAGAATCTCAGAATCTCAGAATCTCAGAATCTCAGAATCTCAGAATCTCAGAATCTCAGAATCTCAGCATCTCAGCATCTCAGAATCTCCGAATCTCAGAATCTCAGAAACTCAGAATCTCAGAATCTCAGAATCTCAGAATCTCAGGATCTCAGAATCTCAGAATCTCAGAATCTCAGAATCTCAGAATCTCAGAATCTCAGAATCTCAGAATCTCAGAATCTCAGAATCTCAGAATCTCAGAATCTCAGAATCTCAGAATCTCAGAATCTCAGAATCTCAGAATCTCAGAATCTCAGAATCTCAGAATCTCAGAATCTCAGAATCTCAGAATCTCAGAATCTCAGAATCTCAGAATCTCAGAATCTCAGAATCTCAGAATCTCAGAATCTCAGAATCTCAGAATCTCAGAATCTCAGAATCTCAGAATCTCAGAATCTCAGAATCTCAGCATCTCAGCATCTCAGAATCTCCGAATCTCAGAATCTCAGAAACTCAGAATCTCAGAATCTCAGAATCTCAGAATCTCAGGATCTCAGAATCTCAGAATCTCAGAATCTCAGAATCTCAGAATCTCAGAATCTCAGAATCTCAGAATCTCAGAATCTCAGGATCTCAGAATCTCAGGATCTCAGAATTTCAGAATCTCAGGATCTCAGAATTTCAGAATCTCAGAATATCATAGACTCAGAATCTCAGAATCTAAGAATCTCGGAATCCTGAAGTTTCAGAATCTCAGAACTTCAGAATCTCGAAATTTCAGAATCACAGAATTTCAGAAACTTCGAATTTCAAAGTTTTAGAATCCCAGAATCCTAAAATTTCCGAATCTCTGAATCTCCGAATTTCATTACCTCGGGATTCCAGAATCTCGAAATCTTAAAATTATAGGATTTAAGAATCTCAAAACTTCGAATCTCGCAATTTCAGAACATAAAAAATACTTTTCGGATTTCTGCATTTCTGGATTTCCTTATGTTTTGAGTTTTCAATTTCTCAAAGTTCTGAATATCATAATTTGTGAAATGATAAATTCCGTTTTTAAAAATTTCAGAAACTTTGAAAACTAATAATTTAAATTATCCAAATCATCCATAATTTAGAACCGGAAAGTTTTTTTTAAAATGAAAGTCAACAACTGCTCACAATCAACTGAAACGTAATTTTCTATTTCTCTCCTGTTTTGAGATTCTAACGTTTTAAGTGAATCCAGAAGATTGTAGCCGCCGACAGGCGTTATTCTCTTCCTCCTCCTTTCAATCACGTTTCATGAAATTCCCCATTTTCACGTAAAAAATTTTTTTGGTATTACTGGCAACCCACTCCGCTGACCTCTACAGTCTGCCAAAAAGTGACACCTGGCCAAAGCTCAAAAAATCGAAAAGTCGGAAACTTGTTTCTCTCTCAAAAATAATATTTCTCCAATTTTACTGGCTCTTGATTTCCTCTTTGATTCCCAAGTTTTCCTTTTGAAAAATGATGTATCAAGACTACACCGACAAACCCAGTACGTTTCCCTAAATTTCAGCTTTTTGTAACTTCTAACTTTCCAGAACACTTCCTCCTAGGATCCTACACTACATTTACCAATTTTCCACTTGAGAACAGCAATCTTGAATACTATATGTATATTCCAACAATCCATAACATTGAATGGTAATTAACATTTTTTTCTAAAAATTGTCCTCATTAATTCGTTGGGATTCAGAAGATTCGCAGTCGATACAACCAAGTCTGGAGAGACGAATAATTTGAAATTCAGTGTTTTCCCAACGAACCAACCCAATGACTGTTTTTATTCGGTTGAAATGGATGTTGCTGTGATGATCGAAAATTTGGAGAGTTCCGAATATTCCATTAAGGTGGGCTTTTTCAGCGTTTTGAAGTCAGTACATACCATACTTGCAACGGGCCCGGG